TTTAGGATGGCTCAGGCGAAGTACAGTAGTACCCATAGTCAGACTCAATGTCATCTCGGGTTCTATGTAATGTTCGCGATCCTGGGGTTTACCCGTCTCACTTTCATGAGTTTCTGCGCTGAGCTGTGAAGGTTTGTGGCTTCGTCAGATCCTGGGGCGCAAGGCTGCAGATCTGCAGGCAGGTTTGTAGCAGATGAGGCTACCCTATTTAGGCAGTTTTTGGTGTGGTTTGATGTTGCTTAGTAGCTGAAAGGGAAAGTGCAGATCATGGAGAACATTTGCGATGAGTTTCCATTGAAAGTGCATTTAGAACATTGTATAAGAAAAAGTAGCAGGCTGTTGGCCTGGCCATTGTCGTAAGAGGCTTGTCGAGTGTGGCTTCGGGGATCTAGCTGCTGCTGGCGTGGCCCGCTTGTTGGTTGCTTCCTTGGCAAGCAAGTTTCGGAGAAATGCCTTTTTGGTGATTACAAGATGGTTTTTAGGAAGAGACCAGAAGTTCTGGCCTATCCCAAGCTTGAGCCTTGCTCCTGCTGCCATGAATTTGGAGCATTTAATTCAGATGGTGGTTGCACTGCCTGCCAAACCGTGCAGCTGTGAGAGCCCAGGCGAATGCCCGACAGCCTGCCTCCGGCCTCAGGGAACTCAATCTGCACCCAATCTGAATTGGGGTGAGGGAGGCAGTTTGGTGAGGTCTGGTCAGGATGACGGTGTGGATGGTCTCCATTGGAGTGCTGCGGCTTCCAATTTTGATTTGGGCCTATATCTCGGCTGTGCCAGTTTTTGAGATTTCATGCGCAGCGGTGCGCTAGCAAATTGTAAGAGGACATAGTTGCATGAGGGCAACGCGTTCGAATGCATCTGCCTGGCTGCATTGCCACCTCTGGGATGCGCTTACCAGACCTCACTCCGGGGGCTCTTCATGTTAAGCTCAACTATACCCAACAAAGCAAAACAAAGCACTGTACCTGGCACGCGGATTTTTGACATCTACAGGGCATGTCCAAGGGCACGTGACGCGTGCAATCCGGCCTGTAAATGCTGATGCCGGAGCTGCCTGGGGCTGCTTGATGAAGCCGGAACAGAAGGTCTAAGAAAGGTCGAGGACGACCTCAAGTAAGCCTTGAGCAAGTAAGGTGCTGTGAGACAAGTGACATCAAGTGACATTTGCCCAAGTATGACATCTGGTTTCTGGTCTGGCCAGCCTCGCGTAGCATCAGGAGTGCAAACAGATTTGGTGACGGCGGTGCTGCTGCTCCTGGGCTTGATGGTTGGAGCGTTGTGTTTTTTTTCAGAAGGTCTTCTTCCGTCACTGGCGGTTTGAAGCAGAAGTTTCCTACAGCTTAGACTTCTTGAGTTTGCACCGGCTTCCTCCCACAACAAGTCCTAGGCTAAGCAGTTGGCATCAAGTTGGGAGGAGTCTGTCTGGCTGAGGAGATCGCAGATGCCTTGCCTCGGCTGGACTCCTTGGAGAAGCTGTCCCTTGAAGCAGGTTTTGAAAGCTGAGACAGGTTCCGTTTGTCATTGATCCGTGCCAATGTAGCACCAGAAGTTAGGTGGGCCTCCTGAGCTCTGAGCTCTTGACTCTCCGAGTGCTCAGGCCAGAACAAATTTTCCGAAACACGTGGAGGAGCTGAATAGCAGAATAGCACACCTTTGAGCCCATAGTGGTTTTCACCAGTCATACCAGCCGTTTATCATAGTTCTCATCCATCATGGAGGAAGTGTGCTGTGTGCCTTCTTCTTTTTGGGACTTGGGTGTTTGCCTGAAGGCCTCTGGAGTCTCACTTGAAGGTGGCCAGGCTGTGTAGAGTCCGACTGATGAACTAGAAGTGTCAGGAAACAACCCATGCATAGAGGACCTTACATGAAATCCTTCTTGCCCTTCAACTTGAACCCTCAGTCTCATGGACGAGCTCATGCGCAACCGGCCCAGCCCTTTCTGAAAGCCAACCGTCTGGATCTACACCACTTCAGATTTCAGCCAAGGTTGCTGGAGAGGAACAAGATCGGAGTCCTTGGTGCGAAGGCAACGCTGAGGGGTTGATCGTGTTCAGTGTGGATGTTTTTTTTGGGATCTTCAGCTTTGAGCGCGCCGGTTTACGGTTTGCTGCCCTACTTTTGCGTATCAGGTCGCTTTGACCTCAGCGCTTTCAAGTGTAGCAATTTCGCAGGTACTGAGCGCCTGAGAAGCACAGTTTGCATGAAACCCAGACAGCTGACTCAGCTGACTGCGCCCCAAGAGCTTGGCCAGGCTTTGGCGGCTCGTCTTCCGCGCAGCAACGTTCGGGAGTCCTGGCAGCAGTCTGGTACTGCTCAATGCATGTGCTTGGATAGTGAAGCTTCAAATGTGACTCTCTGCAAGAAACCATGACAGGACTTCCCGACGACTGTGCCAAGATTTTTGGGGTGCGTAGCGAGAAGTGCAGGAGGTATCCCAATAGCTGTGGCACACAGATCAACTTGGGAAATTTCAATTATGTGCCTTCAGCCGGATGACAAACTCTTGGGGAGTAGGCCAGGGCTCATGCTGATGCTTGAAGCTACCGGGGTGCCAAATTATGGATTCTAGGCTCAAACAAAGAGGACAGCGGCTGCAACGCATGGAAAGCAATGACATGGCTTTACCTTAGCATCAGCATGCTCGCTTCAACTTGGCATCGCATGCAACCTGAGGAGCTGGTGATGGGCACCCATCTTGGCGGTAACCCTCTTGGTGAAGAGGGCGTGCAGGTTCAGCGGGTTTAGGCTGTGCAATCTTATTCTGTTTAGCGTGCCACGAGAAATGCCGTTTGCTTTTTGCTTCAGCATTCCGGTAAACCCAAAATGACCTAAACCAACGAGAGAAAGCTTTAGGGCTCGGCCCCAGGAATCCGTAAGGCCCGTGCTGGGAAGCCTGGGGTTCCCGGTCTTTGCGGTTATGTAGTGCATGCTAGAGTTCGTTTGATGAAGGCCTTAGCCTCCGCTCTTGACGATGCGATGCCCCGTGCAGCAGCAAATCGCGCCACGCGGCTCCAGGCGCCAGCAGAGAAATTCTTTGGGATTTGGGAAGGGTGGCGCTGCTGAAGCCTAAAGTTGGCCTAAAGTGCAGAAATCTCTGCCCAGCTGAGGCCGCTGATGTGAAACATGTTATCAACAGGGGCCTGCCTCGGCAGATGGAGAGAGGGATAGCGGCGTGGCGCCAACGGTTGTGTGTTAGGGTTTTGTTCAGGGGAGAGGCAGGGATTCCCCTGCCAGCGGACACCGACGAGTTGAAAGAAGTGCGAATCCTCCCTACTCATTTGTTTGTAAGATTGTATGCAGATGTGTGAAACCCGGAGACTCCTTTATCCCGGGCTGAGGGAGCTGTGGATGTGCGGGTGCATTATGTGCACGGGTCTCCCTCAGCACCCAAGCAGTGCCAGAGATCCGATCCTTGCGACCATGTAGCCTTTGGACAGGCTTTGGCGCTGGAGGATTGTGGCGTAGGTCAAGCCGGGGCAAAGGACGCTCAGCTGTTGCAGTGTCAGCCTTCTTATTTCCTTTCACTCAAGAGCAGTCTGCGTTGGAATCCCAGTGCCCAGCTCAAAGCTCTCTCCATTTCTTTTTGCGTCATCTTGCTGGATGGTTGAAGGAGGAAATGAAAAGAAGGAAAATGATGTCCAGTTACCATCAGTTACCTTTGAACCAGCAGAACCTTGCAGTCATCCTGTCCTGGTTTGCTGCTCCTAGGCCCTCGCTGAGCACATCCCGAAGAGTGTACTTCAGGTGCGGGATGTTTGTGCCAGGTCATCAAACAAATTCGGTAATCACGATCATTCAGCAGTTGCTCAGGTCATGTGAGGCTTTACGATATCTCATTCAGATTTGTACTGTCATTGTGATTCGTGCTTTTTTTTGTGTTCTTGCTGTTGAGCTTTTAAAATATCATAACAGCCATTTTTTTTGTCATAGTCATTCCCGTCCTTACTTTCATAATGGGTTCGCTATCGTGAAGTTGTTGCACGGGTCGAAGTCAAGCACCCTGTCTTTTTTTCCGCAGGCCCTCTCCGTGGCTCGGGGTCATCTGGCAGATGATGATGCCACAGCCGTGCTGTCCCTCGGCGTAGCTGACTAGATTGTCTTGGCTACAGATGTTGCTGATTGTGGCATTGCGCCTTCAGTCCACAAGTGGCTACCTAAAGGTCCAGCTCTGTTTGTGTTCTGCTGCTACTACCACCATAAGCTGGGGAGGAAGACCCCCAGGTTATGACATTGTAATATACCATGGTCCCTTATAGCCAAGAACATGGATAATGCTCGTGTTTGTTAGCCTTGCTACCTAGAACGCGTCTCATGGGTTGAAGCTCCTTGTTTCTGAGGCTGGCCTTACCGGGCAGCATCGCATTTCTGGACTTGTCCGGCTCAGACCTCGGCAGGGCACAAGAAACCATTAGTTCCATTTTACTTTTCATTATCCCAATACAACCTCAATATAACCATAATATTACCCCAAGGGATTCCCATATCCCCTAAGCAATCAATCGAATCGACCTTGCCATTGCCCACATGCAGTATGCAGTAGCCAGATATAGCCAGATCATCCAGATCCCCGTGTCCTTGCTTAATCGGTCGCGCAGAACTGGACCAACTTGCCCAAGAACCGCGCAGCACTTCTTTGATTTGTTCCGCAGCCTCACTTCGAGCCCCACAACGTAGGGTAAATTGATGTCAAGAATCAATCAGCGCGCTGCGGACCTTAGCTTTGACATCCTTCCCAGTCATAGTCCAAAGATATGTCAAGCAGGGAATGAGCTCAGCGACCTCACAGCCTCCATTGCTGGAGAGGCCTGTCCCCGGGAAATTCACATTGGCTTTTGGAGAGTTCATCAAGCTTGTCGCGTTGTCAGTGGCTACAGAAGCTCTTTGGGTCGGCGTGTGCAGGGCAGGCGTTGAGCTTTCGGAGGGCATCAATCTAGCGCTAACCTGCTGCAGCTGTTGCATCGAACTCAAAAGATAGTTCGGTGACTTCAAGCGTTAGGCCCATGGCATCCCACATGCGCCTGCCAGCCGGTGCCTGTTTATGCTGTTGGCTTTTGCTTTTCAAAGTCGTTTCCAGCGAGCATGCTGATGATTTCGACTCAAATGCCCTGCTCTCCGTCGGGATGCCCAAGCAAATGGATTTGCAAGCAGATTCAGGTCACTACGCCTACCTGCTGCGCTGCGCTCAGGCCCCTGCTGGCGACGAGGCATGCTACGACACAAGTCCTCCGGAGGAGTTTACTGTGAGGTTCTGGCTGTGGGATGGGCGGAGCTTCCGGGTACGGAGCTACAGCCACTGGGCGCCAGTCTTCGCACAGCGCTTTTGGCAGTTGTCCAATTTGAACTGGTGGCGAGGAGTGGCCATCTACCGGAACGACTATGTCAATGAGAGTTTCCGCTTCGTGAGCCAGTGGGGGTTGGTGGGCTCTCCTGCCGTCAATGACGCCTGGACCAAGTGGAAGACCAGCAACCAGACATCGCCAGCCCTCAAGTCCAACACACGAGGTAAGATCAGCTTCTCCATGGGAGCCGTCGAGTGCACAGCTGGACCGGATGACCCTTGCCAAGCTCTTCGCCCAAACTGTACAGCAGAAGACTATTGCGCGTTGGGCTTCTCAACGGAGATCTATGTGAACTTCGCAGACAACTCTAGATTGGATGAACATGGCTTTGCCCCCATTGGCGAGGCGCGGAGGGCCATGCCAAACGCCGCAGAAACACAACCACCAGTTCAAGTCACACCCCTAAACTCTTTGGTAAAATCTGGTAGAACACATGAAGAAGACGTTGTGTGTTGGCTTTGAAGCTCTGCTCTACGACATCTTTTCTCACTCGTGCAAAACTTGAACCGTTCGCCTGAAGCTGGTTTCAGAGATCTGTTCGCTCATTAAATGCTGATGGCTGCGCCGAGGTGGATGATGAGGGGATGCTCGTTCTTGACGACTTGGGCAGAACTCTTGGCAACCTTTACGGCGAGGCCAGGGGCTTTCTTAATTTACTGGCTCCAGTTCAGACGTTGCAGTCTCTCCCCCTAGCGACGCTTCGCTTTTCCAACGCTGTAAGGGTTTGCAGCTCTACAACATTCATTGGAAATCGGCCGTCTGAACTTCATTAGTTCAGAGATTTCGAATTGCCGAGTCAGGCCCGGCCTCCCAAGCCAAGCCTCCCGATACTCAACATTTTCAGAGGGTAAACTTTTCTGGGCCCCTCTACGAGATCCACTCTGGTGAAGCTGGGAGGCTCCGGGTACTTGTGAGCGAGAAGGCAGTATAGGTGTCAGGGTTTTAATGTTTGTCAAGTTTGGCGGGGTCAAGCAAACGTCCGCACGAGTAGTTTTGTTAAAGTTGAACGAAAAACAGGTGTCACCGAGCATGGATGACAACGTGACCTGCATCCTATTTTTGTTTTCGCAGTACTGCACCCTACTGTTGAAGCCTTTTTTCCTCTGTGAGGTGCAGGATTTATGTCCGCCTACGCCGCCTGGGTGGCTTGCAATGATTTGCTTCTAGGAAGTAGGTCGTTACGTACGAGCGTCAGTGCTACTAGGTCGGGTCACTGCCAGCCGCACCTAGGACGATTCTTGCGATTGCTTTCTGGTTGATGTTCTTTGCATGCTGAATATTGTCATTCATCGTTATATCCGTAGGAACGCGCACGACTTGGAGCAACGAGTCCACAGACAGGTTCATCTTAGGTTTTCCATAGGCTTGGCCCTTTCCTACTTGCCTCCCTCTCCGGCAGCTCATTGCCAAGGAAGTACTGCGTGTACCGCGATGGAGAGCGAGCTGGAGTGAACGAAACCAAGTTTCATCAAGAAGGTAACCGATATATTTGGAAAGACTTCCCAGAAATGTTCCGGCTGCGGATTGCTTCTGCGCGCGTGGAAAGATGGTACGCAGCCTAATTTGTGCAGAGATGAGCCCCAGCCTCTCTAGCTCGGGCAGAAGGCGGCGGCTTCAACGATGTCACCTCCAAACGGCGATGAGGTGAAAAGGGTGCTGCAATCCAAGATGCACATAAATTGCGTACCCTCCTGAAAGCCATTTGGTGCGGGCTGAATACTAGGGTTAGATGTAAGGCTCGAAAGTTGCCCTTCGCAAGGCTCTCTACAAGCGGCCCAAGCTGTCCATCTCATTGGCTGCCAACTACCTGAGCCCGACCATCAAGCTACTGCTGGCGGAGGAGTCTGGGTGGAAAAAAAGTCTTAAAGGTCTGTATAAGCCCAACTCTTCTTTTTAGGACTCCTTGAAAGATGCGGGGACACTGAAGGGTGCCTTCCTCATTGCATTCTCCAGCTATGCTGCTTCCAGGTGCTCGCTACGAGCAGAATGTAAACTTTGGAAGGAACCTGTAAGTATTCTCCACGCAGCGCTTGTGAATCAGCCTGAACTTCGAACGTTAGTTACGTTAGTTAATGTGGCACCAGTGGACTGCACTCGCGTGGCCGTTTTTCCCATGGATGTGCAGCATCCTTAGTTATGACGTTGTTCGTGGCAGATCAGTGCCAAAAGGGTTTTGCCTGTGGATGGACTTCCAGGTGCCTGCACACCTTGGATTCAGAAGGCTTTGAATAGTCAAACGAGTGAATCTTGTATTCCAAGCTTGCAACCCCCAAAGTCGGTAGCTTGTGGCGGCAGGAGCATGGGACCCGGCTGAGGGTATGAAGCAGCCACGAATTCAGCGAGACTTTTTGTGGAGGAGTGTTAGGAGTCGTGCTGGTAATGATTGTCCCGTCATTTATGACCAAGGCTGTTCTCAGGTTTGTGTGGGAGTGGTTTTTATCATGCTGCACGGGCTGCCTGCTGCAAAGCAGCATGCGGCCGTAGGATAGGATTATCTGCCAGGGCACACTTTCACCCCAAAGTGCGGCTTCTCCCCCAAATTTGGACATTCGCTGACATTCCTTTGGACGCCTTCGGACTGAGTGTGCCTGTGTTGCAGCTGTTTCACCTTGACGAGGTATTGGCAACAAAAAATCGCCTCTGGGGTGCGTCATTGACATCATTCCGTGTGCTTGCCATCTTCGCTGTTGTCTTTGCCGCACTTCTTTGCATCATCAGGCTTGATCTACCTCTTGAGTAGCACTTTCCTTGCCATTGAGTGGTTTAGTATGAGGGCAGTATTATATCAGTGGCTGCCCAACATCGGCGAAAGAATCGGCTGGATGGACTTCAGACGCCTGAGGCCCCCTTATGCCGTGCATTGCATAGGATTGTGAGTTTGAAGCGGGGCTGTCATACTGAGCTCCTTGAACACCAGAGCATTCTGTAGCCCTAGAAGGCACCAGGGGCTCCAACCCATCATGGGTGTGCTGAGCATGTCCCGATCTTAAGTTGCTGGGATAACTGCGGACTCACATGCGTTTGTGGACGTTTCGGCTTCAAGGGGCATTCAGGCCCCACAAGTTCTACCCATCACGCTCCATTTGCAATCGTACTTTTTTCACGTAGCCCGGGCCCAAGCTTTGCTTCCTCGTTTGTGTTGCATCACTTCTGGACAGGGCACGCTATCGTAATCCATGACTCACTTGGTGGTGAAAGCTCAGCCTAACGTACCAAGCGAGGACAGTGCGGAGAGCGGCCAACATGTGTACCAGGAAAGCAAATGAAATGCAAACCCAATTGTTCACCATGACTTGTTACATGTAGCCAATCCCAGTCGCTTGGTGTCGCTAATGTCCGCTTTGATGTGAAGCGCGTACCCTTTGGAGCCAAGGCAATGTCTCGCACACTGTGCGTTTTGGTGGCATCCTCCTCAGCCCAGAACAGAGAAGCTCATGCATCTCAAGTTGACAGGGCTTTGGAACTCGAAGCCCACACAGGTGCGTGTGCCCCTTATCTTTACAGGCCAAGCAGAGGCCTGAAGGACCAGGACAGGCCTCGTGTTGGTAACGAAATGGATTGGTTCTTTATAAAGTGTGGAGATCTTGACCCTGCTTCAACGTTTCCGTGGCAGCCCAAATGCCACCCACTCATAATCCTGCCCCATCTGAGTTGCGGCGTGTCAAGTGACGGGTTTTGTTATCTCAAATGGCAGGCTTCAACAGGGTAGGCTCGGGTAGGCAGTCGTTGTTTCCGGCAGGGGCCAATTGGGTGAGTGGTTGTACCTCCGCTGCTGAGGTTGCCCTCGGGCAAACAGCCGTTGCCTTTGACTCGTCCATGTTGATCACCAGCAGCGGAGCCGTTTCAGGCGCCGCTTAATCTTCTGCAAGTTGAACAGCTTAGAACTTTGGTGCTTCATGGTGGTGGATTTAAGTAACTTTCCTAGGTCCAAGCACCTCCCAAGAATATACGTACTTTTCACCGAAAAGTAAAGTTGTCTTCTGGCCATTGGATAAGCACATGCGTGATAGATGTCACGATGACCCTGGCGTGATTATCTTTGGGAGCTTCAAGCTGATCCGGCTGTCATCTCATGCAGTGCAAGACCAGTCTGTTTGAAACTTGTTCTGACGATTTGCAGGTTCTGATGCCGCCAGTTTCCTGCAGAAACCTGTGGTCACTGGAGAGGACACCTGCATAGTTAAGCATATGTTGGAAGCCTGAAGTGAAAGCAACGTGAAAAGCTGTCAAGCAAGGCCTGCAACTGTTGGCCAACATACTGCAGCATTCTCTTTGTTTTACCCTGTTCAGCTGTGTTTCCGTTTTGGAGCTGTTGCAGTCATGCTTTGACCTGCGATTGCGAAGGGCCTTGCTGAGGACGCCACTGATGGCGCTGACGAGACAGCCGAACCAGTGCACGTAATTGGTAGCGCCCTCGAGTTCAGAATGGTTTGCATGCAGCGTTGCGATAAGCCTTGCAAGGGAAATCAGCTAGCCAGCTTCTAGGTACTGCGAGTACTCTCTGGTGTACTGGTGTATTTGTTCCCAAGATGCTGACCGTGAGAAATCCGCTGAGAAGTGATTCCATAGAAAGTCCTGGGGCACGAAGGCAGCGTGCAGAGGTTATGAAAGGTGGCACTCAGCACTCGGCATAGAGAGAGTCCTGCAGTCTCTCACTGACCGGAGGCCTTCGCCGTGAAAGCGCGGGAGCGCCCAGTTGCTGGAGCAATGGAGGTTGCGTCAGCGAAGGGTTCTAGAGCCTGAGCGAAAGTGATGCAGGAAGGGGTGTGTAAGACTTGAGTCGGCCAATGTACGCTAGCAAGCTCGTGTTTGTTGCATGGAAGCATTCTTGCAGAGCAACCCGCTGCTCGCGTATTGAAGACCTCTTCACTCTTCAGGGTTTTCCAAGGTCCCCATCTACCGAATGGGGAAGATTGCCTCGTTCAAGACATCCTACTCTGGAGCCGGATTCTCAGGAGGTTTGTCAGCTGAAGGTCAGTAGGAAAATGTACGCCAGGCCCCAAGCGGATGTGTGTTTCCAGCAGGTCAAGCATTTTCGAGGGCAGCGTAGGTCTTGCGCTTTTCTGTACCAAGGCGTAAGGCATATCTGACTGGCGCATACTCATACTCCCTAAACATGGCGTACCGCTTTTATGGGAAATTGCTGGCAGCTCTTCCACAACATATGTCCATTTTAGGGTTGATGATTTGTTGACTGTTTGAACGCGCTGGGACCTACGACGTTCTCAACAGATGGCAACTTGATGTGCAGGCCCATGTAGTTGCCAGTTATCCATTAGAAGCAGAAGACCTTCAAGAGGATTACATTCTACTGAGGAGTGGGACTGAGCTCAGAACTTGACAATTCTTTTACAACTTGCCCAGCCGATAGGTCAGCGAAGCCGCGCAAGAAGATAGCAAGCAGGAGTACAGCGTGATAAGCGATGGCTACAACCCGATTCTCTGCAGTCTCGAGCTGCCAACTGTTGAGGTTGTCAGCATTGGCTACCCGCCGCAGGCCGTCGCTTGAGATGGCGGTCTTGCTCAAGAGTAGCCCCAACCGTGCTTTCAGTTATTGTCGTTAAACACATGATGAAAGGTTTGTGACTGTCGAGCCAAGAGTCCGCACCTCTTCAGTTGGGGATGATACACCCAACGCCCCATCCACTCTTGCAGCGCGGCGGTGTTGGCGCGGGACCTACCAATAGGTTTCAAAAGAGCTCGGAACCCCACCCCAAGCTTCAACACACCCTGACTTGAGAACCATGAGCTGGAAGAGGTTTCGGAGCACTGCCTCTAAGCTCCAAGCAAATTCACTGCGACCGCCAAAACCAAGAGCTGGCCTCAAAGTGCCATGTCAGGACTTCCGTGTGGTGTTCGACACTGGCTCCGCTCACATTATCTTACCGGCCGTGGAGTGTCACACGGAGGACGGATTCGAGGGAGGTGGTTTTGTTTGGAGTTGGCTGAGCGCATATGTGCGCACACACACATATATATATATATACATATCTATATATCTACGGATATGATATGTATGTATGTTATAGACGTACTCACATCGTACTAGAATATCCTAGAGGGCTTGACGTTGCCTGTTTGATGGAGATAACTTTTGTGTGCGCGGAAGCCGCGGGCGGACGGCTGCATTGCAGGCTTGTCGCACCAAATCTGTTACCGCGTGTGACATCTCAAAATATTTGCAACGTGTGGCAGGCCTGCCTAGCCAACAATCGCAGGCTGTACAACCAGCCAGAGCCCTAAGCTTGCTTGTGAGGATGTCGTAGGTCTTGCGGCATCTAACAGAATCTCGTGCAGGCTCTCTCTGTCTATTTGCGTGTTTTGCAAGAGAATTTGGCTGGCACTGACGGGTATTTCCTGTTTCTTCTATTGCAGTCTGGAAACCACCAGTCTGCAACAGGTTGCCCAGTGGCAACAACCGACGGGAAAATGGTAAGCGGTGAACCAAGCAGTCACCCTTATTCAGCCACAAGGAATTTTTCAAATCAAGAACTCTTGAGAAAATGGATGCCGTTAACTGGATGGGGTGTCCCAGCCCCAATGTTCTACAACAAAGCTGCCGGTTTAAAACAGAGTCTCTTAAGCTAATGTTCTACAGCGAATCAATGCTTTTCTAGACCCGAATCGCGTGCGGCTTTGTTAGCGACTTGAAGGCTGCAATCCTAAAGCGCAAAGACAGAACCGAACAAGAAAAAACAACAAAAGCTACAGAACAAAAAGGCAAGACATGGCGATAAGGTTCAGGCCTTCGTACAACAAGAGCCGAGAAGTCAAATCTACCAAAGACTTAGCACGTGATTTGGCCATGGTTTTTAAGGGCTTACCCCAGGCCTCAGAGTATTTGCCCGGCAGTTGCCATCCTTGTTGTATTACTTTTTTTTTGGTGCTGAGTTTGCTGTTTCGGGTACGGATCGGCATCTGGTGTTCCACGCCCCAATATTCCAATGACTCATGTCATCCAAAGGAGCCCTATTTGCAGAGTATTCATCATATTCCCATGATTCCAGCATTCAAACATTTTGTGGAGTTTTACTTGTCGCTGTGGAATAATTCCAAGATCCTCGAAATATTCGTGCATTCAGAACTTTCCATTCCCATTAACAAAAAATGATAGTTCCAGGCAAATGCTCCAAATTCTATAGGCACAATGTCCTTAGTATTATTGCTAATTATTGCGTTCCAAACTTGACGGTGTTCTCAGCACAGCATTCTCAAAACATGATTGGTTATTCTTGTTTGGCGTTTCCAATTTCCAATCTCAAGCCATATACGTCATAAGCTGATTTCTGTCACGTGTTTGAAGTTTGTTCTGCATGGCTTCAGTTCCCTACTCTGTCCAACCTGCCCTAGCTGAGATACGGACCTCCTCTTTTTCAGTGCATGAGGAATGCTATGAGTTTATTAGTTCATTGGGGAACAAGAAAGACATGGAGAAGACAGAAACACTAGGCATACGAGGATTACTCCGACCTCGTTGGGAGTATTGGAGTGTTTAGAGAACACCTAGATTCGAGAAAAAAATGAGAATTTGCGCAATGCAATGAATGTGGGGAACGTTGGTAACATTCGGCTATGGGGCGTATTTGGAAGATACCAGCATTGCTTCCGAATCTTAGGGGTATAGGGGAGTTGGGAGATATGGAAGTATCTGCACTATTCAGAGGTTTCCACAAATGAGGAGTTGTGGGGAGAGATTTTGCAAACATTGCAAACATGAACAAGATCGGAGATTTTTTATTTGGAGGTCTCAGGCAGCTGTGTTGATGTGAAATGTGGGTGATAGGGGCTTGGACAGTAGAAGCGCAGAATTCTTGATGGGGTTCTGTCTTGGCTTCCGGGCATCAGCTGCAAAGCTGAATGAGGTAAGCACACAATTGCAACGACGTGTTTCACACCTCTGCATTCGACCAATTCTCTTTCAGACTTGGAACTATGATTGCGCCAGAGAGACTCTTCAATGCAAGGGCCGCGTCAACGACAGCTCTGCCCATCAATGCAGACGGCAGCATCGTTCATGAAGGGGATGAGGGAGAGCAGGCGCTTCCACCGAGCCCAGTGTTCGCATCGCCGATTTTCCGACTGTATATCAGAACAGAAGCGCGATTCGCTTTACCAATGCTTTAGGTTTGTCATGGCAGCTCAGCTATCAGGGCTGGGCGACCAACAACGTAGCCGATGCTTGAACACGATATATCTAAGGCCGTTGTTATTGCATAGATCTTTCTGCTACCCGCCTTTTGGACTATCAGCGGCGCCGATGATAACGGGTCGTAGTGTGTCTAATCTCCATGGCTCATCCGCCAGGTGACTATCGGCTTTGGAACTGGCGAGATTACCGGCGAGTTCGCCAAGGACACGGCTTCCTGGCCGAAAGCCAGACAGGAGAGGCTGTGGAATTCTCTGCGGCTTCACATATCCGCCCTATGAGCATTCCTAGCCACATTGTTTGGAGAGGCTTAGCAGGCGGAATGAAGGATTAGCTGTCATGTAGTTCATGGCTCCATATTCAATGTGGAGCCCTTTGGAGCTAAGTGAAAGCAAGCTTTCTGCTTTCTTTGCACTCTTGCTTGTGCACAGCCGATGTCCGTTTGGCTTGACAAGGTTTGCATGGGCAAGGGCCAGACGGCCGACGAACAACGCGCGCTTCTGGCAGAAGCTCGAAGACAGAAGGTGGGGCACTGGCTGAGCTGTTTGGAGCCAAGCATTACCTGCGAAGAATGGGGGGGTGTACAGCCAAGCCTTTCTCCCTGCTTGATTCATAGCTTGCTCAGTGGCAGAGATGTGCAGAAGGCACGCATCAACGTGCGGTGTAGATATCCGTTCTTTGGAGCTAGGAATTCATGTTTGCCTTTCCCTTGCAGTGGTTCGTAAAGGGGAGTGTTGAATTCTGAAGAGCCTTTTGAACCACCGCTTCATCTCTTTTGGCTCAATTCAGGGGGGTTGAGGATTGCAAGAAAGCCATGGCACATGCAACCTGGCTCACCACATTGGGCTCCTGGTTCCTTGGCGTCAGGCTTTGGAAGTCAAGGCTTAGACTGGACTCCTTGGGGGCTTGCGTGTCTACATGTGCAATGGTCAAAGCCTGCATGTACAGTTGGAGACTCATGTGAGGATGGGTCATGGAAGCCCCACATCTTGTAAAGCGACGGGACACCCGGCAAAGCGACGCCCCCAATTCAGCCCAATCGGCTGCGCTTGTTGCCGTGTAAGAAGGCGTGACACTCTAAAAAAGCCACACCTTAAATCAACACCGACTTCAACCCTGCAAAGCGACGGGCCAACTTGAAAAGCACCACTACCACCACTACCACCACTACCACCACTACCACCACTACCACCACTACCACCACTACCACCACTACCCAGCCACCAAGTTTGATGCTTGTGTAAATTTAGATGCTATAGCTTTATAAGGTTGATGTCAGGGAGAGCATCCCTGCATGGTCTTGGATGTAGGGCTGTGGGCTTCCATCGACATACACTTCCTGAGAGAAAAGATTTCTGGTGCAATTCATGCGCGGCAGTTTGCTAAAGTGATCAGTAAAGTTTCGTGTGCTGGCGCTTGGGGCCTCGTGCGTTCTTTATGGCTGGATGATTCTACAAATCATCAGACCGCAACGGTTTAGAATCACACAACACCAACATGTCCAATCCTCGCGCAGCATAAGGAGGATGTGAGGGTGGCAACTCTCAAATGTGCCTCCCAAGAAAAAAAAGCTCTTGAAGCATGAAAGTTCCAAGGTGTGCCATTACTGTGGGAGTATGGTGCATCGCATGGTTTTGGGTGGCTCCTGCCAGATGTGACACTGTGGCGGAATGCTCCCGGCATCTGTGACCTGGAATGTTTTGTCAGGGGGAAGAAGGTAGAAGCAATGCTCGCCCCAATTGCACCTGACGCAGAATAGAGCCATCCTTATCTGTTGAAAGGCATCGTCACCCCCGCTTCTATCACGTGGTCTCCACGGCTGTCCTTCTGGCTCTGCTGGGGCATGAGCTCTTGAGCCTGGTGGCTACTTACATCGGCACCCGGCATGCCCAGGCCTTGATTCCCCATCTTAAGAGCAACTTGGAAAGGCATTTGAAGATCGTTGTGGTGGGTTTCCAGAGCTATCAAGCTAACAGTCTTGAGACGCCTTCTGGCTCTGCTAAGGCAAGAGCTTGCCAACGCTCTTGCTCGCGTTAATGTTGGGCATCTTGGCAATTTTCCGAGAGCATGTTCTCGCGCATGAGCTGGACTGTTGCCCACGTGATGCCCGTCAGCGATGGCTTGACGGCTCCTGGCCGCCCTGTTTACACGCTGCAGTACATCGAGCCCCTGCCGCATTTGATGTTCGTTTTGAGACAAACGGGCGGGGTTGCTCGGGAGCTGAGGAATGGACTGCAGGAATGCCGATCACTTTCCTACTTGCTGGCTATTGTGGCTTGGGGCGCCCATTCCGCGAGATCTCCCGGCCACTGGTGCTGACCAACACATATATTGTGTTATGCTGGGCAGCTACCCTCACCAGCTATGCCTCGTTGAAGTGGCCGATGATTATGGCATCTCTGGCGATGTACAGCCTTGCTTCCAGGGACATGTTGATGTGGTGTCTGGCATTCGAGGGAACAGCCCCGAAGGATTTGCCAGGAAGATCTCTGCGCCCCCTGCTTTCCTCTGGTCTGGTGCTTCACTTCTTGCTGTATGGCCTGACCTACCTTTCCTCTGCGCCGACCTCTGCACTTAAGTTTGAGTCCGTTGCTGTTCAAAGGTCCATTCGGCAGCAATCACCAGCCAAATTTCATTCCTCTGCAACTCCCGGGCTTCTGTTTTTGTTCGGCTGGTTGCAAAATGTGTTTTCCAAGGATGATCAGTCAAGAATACAGCAGTCCAATCATACCCCACTGCTAGCATGAATTTTGTCTAAGGTTAGAAGTATGGGCCCCTAACATAAGCCCTGGAGGCCTTTTCGGGAGAATTCTAGGGAGACTTAAGGGCAGATATAGGGTACATACTAGTAATATAAGGAACCCGGGGTTAAGGGCCCCTACTACGGGCCCATGGTTTCAACCTTAGATTTTGGGGTACTATTCAACACGAATTTCGCAAAAATGCAGCAAACATGCTAATAATCCAAATCCTCCATTTGAGAACTGCTGTCCTCGGCACACCTAGTGGCCCAGTGTCTCTTTCCACGATCCATGATCTATGGTGACGGCTTTGAACGCAACAGCGTGGGGGGAGTTTTCACCAGGCAAAGCTCTTCACATATTAAGGTTCAATTTTGTTTTAAAGTTTTTCAGCGTGCGGGAGATGTGGAGAAATAGACTCCAATCAGCAGGTTTTCCTTTTTGAAGCTTCCGCGCTTTGCCAGCACGTTCTTGGCGTCGTGCTGCGCTCGCGACTTGAAACTGTTGGCTGGCCATCCGCAAGATGGCCAAGTCGCGTTTTGGATACGCGAGCGACAGCTACTGTTGCGAATCTCATTAGCTCTGGCTCTCATGCGATGCTTGGGGCAGCTTCACGTCATCTGGCTGGGTTGAACGTTGGCTGACAAGCATCGCATTAGGAACTACTCTTCAAGATCCCTCAGACTTCAAGATTTTGAAATCTGTTGATGTGAGCGTCGCTTTAACTGATCACACCCCCAGCTGAGCTATGGGAGGACTAATCTCCTCACACAGGTTTGGAAAAGGGGGGTTGCGTAAAGTTTTGGCTTGAGATTGGTTCAGGGGTTTCTTATTGCCACCCCTATACTGTAGACCAAGGTAAATCTGTAGGTTTGTCTTGAATATGGCGGATCGCAACTAAACCCAAATCAAAAACCATACTTTGGGGAATTGGATCTGGCCCCTCAAAAAGGATGGGGGTTTGGATTTCCGCGTTTAAGCAGGGCCTCTCAGCCATCACTGTGGCCTGAGGGTCCTAGGATTTGCCATAGCATAGGGATAATGGGTATATTATATTGGGGTTATATAGGGATAATGGAAAAGAAAATGGAAACTGCTGTATAATGGGATATATATTGAGTTATATCCTCTCTAGCCTTGAGCTGTGGCAAATCCAAGGCCAATCCTTGTGAATGTCAGTCCCTGTGGCTTGAGGTTGGAAGCATGGGCCCCCATCGGGTCCTTAGCCCTTTCGGTGCGGGTTCTGCGGGCCTTGAGGCCTTGAGGGCACACCCACGGCTTCCATTCTAAACATATGGGGGAATGGTGGCGGTATTTTTTCCGTATGTTTTTCCTTTTTTTTTTTTTGGTGGG